TTTACATTTCATGTACTTTTCCCTTCTTCTTTCCAAATTTCTACCCAAATTCAAGATCCAAACACAGCCTTAAAAATGTTAAAATCTTTTACCCCCCCCAAAAAAAAGCACTATGAAGCAACATTAGAAACTTACTAGTTTTTTCCCGACTCTACATGCTGCACAACTTCTACCTTTCTTGAGCCCTCTTCGTCATCAGCCAGGATAGTGACTAGCTGGTCATCGATAATGAACTTTACCCTTTGGTGCAACGTAGCCTCAAGCCTGATCCTCATTCATCTACGGCTACTGCATACTACTGTGATGATGTCAGTGCATTTGATAAAACATAAACATACTAGACAGTAAATCAGACATGTTATCCAAGGAATCTTATGCCTCCACATTTACAGTTTGGTAACTTCACAGTTCTCTATTTTTTTGTTTATAAAAAACAGAAAACATACATATGTTTATTTTTTTCTATAAATAAAAAAGTCATAGACATGTTTTCAAAACACATGAAAACAAAAAACAAAAATGTGTGGTGAGTTGCACAAGGGAGTGACCAGAGGGATGGAGGGTTGCCAGAAGTAGTGGCCACCGGCCGGTAGAAGGGAGGTGAATGAAAATTTGTTTTCAAAATTTATTTATTTATTATTACTATTATTTTTTGAGTCTGAAAATTTTGTTACTTTTGAAAACTGTGTAAAGCCACTAAGAATTAAAATGCCTCCTTTTACTGCTATATTTCAATCATAATTTTCCCTGCTTTGAATTTAGTTATTTTACAGAGTCAATCAACTGTTTTGTTATGCAGAGAAACTCAACAGCTCCAGTGCAAAGAGAAGAGTGAGGATCATAGCCATCCCTATATCACTTGTGGGAGTGGTTCTCCTAATCCTATTCCTCTTCTTCCAAGTCAAGAATAAAAGAAAGCTCAAGAGAGTAGGTAATGAAATGAATAAATTTTTATATTAAATCTGTTTACTAAATGATCTGTCATTACTAAATGATGTTTCAATTTGACTTCCTATGCCACTTGTCCTATTGGCATCTTGTATCCCTAAATTCCTTTGCATCCCTATTCCAAAACACCCAGTCATTGAATTATGTCTGGAGATTTTCATATCTTGAGATTCTTACATGATCTAACTATTATGAGTATTTTGAGATTATGACATGGATGAATTTCGGGATGGAGTATCCAAGCCCTCATTCTACACCTTAATTCTCTCTCCCCCCCTCTGTTAACAAGTATTTTCCCCATGGAGGAATGTCCAGTGGACAGTCCAAAGAACACCATTGGCATCATAGAAGGGTTCCAAAACCAATGAACAAGCTCTGCATGGCTCATAGGGACTTCCAAATGAAATCATAATGATTTTAAGGACTGAGCTGTAAGAAATGAAATAGTACAACAGAAGACATCCATTTAAGTAGGCAGATAGATGATTTCAAACAAATTTTTAAAATTGGTTGGGGTCTACGAGGCACGGACACATGACACAATACGAATACGCAGATACGTAAATTTTCAAAAAATACATGACACAACACATTCAGAATACGTTCAAAACATATATTTTTATATTTTTATTATATGTATATTTTAAATATTTAATATGTATTTTATGTCAAATATTTAATTTTATCAAATTTATCAGACTTAGGTATGCTATTTTAGTAAAAAAAAAAATAGTACTCAGTGCATACCTAGCATGTCCCAACGTGTCCCAGTGTGTCCAACTCTTTCTAGCATGTCCGACACATGTCCGGAGCGTGTCCATGTCTGACATGTTGTACATGACCTCTGGAGAGGTGTCCATGCTCATAGGTTGGGGATGTCCAACTTTTCATTGTTTTTGTTTCTGAAAACACGAAAGATGAAAACAAAAACCAAAAATGAAAAACATATATATATCCGAAAACATAACCAAACCAAATTTGTAAGGTTGTGACTATTGGCATAAATGGTAGTCCAAAGTTTCATTTACTTACATGAATTATACTCTGCAGGAATGACTAGATTCAATCCAGAAAGAAACTACAGTGATGAAACAATAGAAAAGATATAGAATTACCACTATTTGACTTTGCTACAATATCAAAAGTTACAGACGATTTTTCAATAAGCAATAAGATTGGAGTAGGCGGCTTTGGACCTGTGTACAAGGTATTGTTAATATTCATACACAATTATGCAGCATCAGAAGGAAAATAGTACATGCTACCCATTTGGCATGGTAATATTTCTATGCACCGAGACCAATTTTTGTGTACATAACAATCTACCACTAGCTTTCCTATCACTTTCTCTCAAATTATGGCACAAAGCTCGTCATTCTTATGAAAAATTTAAGTCAGCACTAATGCTTTCAGAAAAAGGTGATTTGGCTCAACAGTAAAGCTTGTCATAGTGTCCTGGTGGCACAAACTTCAGTCACATAAACAACATTTCCAGAAATAGGAGTAAGACTGCGTATATTTTAACCAATAAGATAAGGTCTCATTTTGATGTTTCAATTGAAGATCACCCAGTGTTTTTAGAGAGAGAGAGAGAGAGAGAGAGAGAGAAAAGGGTCTCCAAACCCAATCCACAGTTAAGAGTTAAGGAAAAAATGGTCTTTTTACAAGATGTATATAATCCAATGGGGTATATAGAATTCCACAGAATATTAGCTTCACTTGCACAATTGGAAGAAAAAAAATAAAGGAGGTACAGCAAAACACATTACTTCAACCACATTGCCTGTGGAACTGTGGCTTGGCTTTTTGTGACACAGTCAATTATATTAGTGCATCTATTCAGAACACATGGCATAGATTTCCATAGGGAAAATCACGGGAACATGAAAAACAAGCAGAATATGAAACTGCTGAATATTGATATTTTCAGGGTACATTAGAAGAGGGACAACAAATAGCTGTGAAGAGACTATCAAAGAGTTCAAGACAAGGACTTGATGAATTCAAGAATGAAGTGTTATGTATTGCCAAACTTCAACATCGAAACCTTGTCAAGCTTCAAGGATGTTGCATTGAAGAAGAGGAACGGATGTTGATCTATGAATATCTCCCCAACAAGAGCTTGGATTCCTTTATTTTTGGTTTGTCTCTCTCTAAACTTCTATACATAGCATATTTTTTAGAACTTCTCAACTGTGTTAAATTCGTTTCTATGATATTCACAAGTTTAATTAAGCAAAAGCGTGATAAATTGGATTAAAATTTGAGCAGGTGAAAAGCAAAGCATGTTATTGGATTGGCCTAAGCGCTTCAACATTATCAATGGGATCGCTCGAGGGCTTCTCTATCTTCACCAAGACTCCAGACTGAGATTCATCCATAGGGACCTAAAAGCTGGTAATATTTTACTAGATAACGAGATGAATCCAAAAATTTCAGACTTTGGCATGGCCAGAAGTTTTGGAGGCAATGAAACTCAAGCAAATACGACTAGAGTAGTTGGAACATAGTAAGTATATTTTCAGTTATGAGGGAGGCTCTACTATTATTGATCATGTTATGCAAAAGTCGAGTGGTTCCAATTACAAAACAATAAATAGAACAAAGCAAACACACAGATCTGAGCTTCAGACCTCCACCTTTTGTAAAAAGGCCTCTACAGTAAACCTGAGTGCATAGTAAAAATATAGGACACCTCACAAGAAGTTGGGACATTAATTTCTTTTCACATTGATTCTTCCGGTGGTTACATGTCTCCAGAGTACGCAATTGATGGACTCTTCTCCATAAAATCGGATGTCTTCAGTTTTGGGGTATTGGTGCTTGAAATAATCAGTGGGAAGAAAAACAGAGGATTTTATCATCCTGACCACAACCTCAACCTTCTAGGGCATGTAAGCATCAAAACTACTGTTTACCTAATCTCTCAATGCCAGGATACAAAACTTACTGACAAAATGTTATGTCCAGGCATGGAACCTCCACAAAGAAGGCAAGTCTTCAGAATTAATTGACACGTCAATGGCAGATGCATGTAATCATCCTGAAGTTATTCAGTCGACCCATATCGGTCTATTGTGCGTGCAACAGAGTCCAGAGGACAGGCCAAGCACGTCATCTGTGGTTCTCATGTTTTGTACTGATATGGTATTGCCTCAGCCGAAGTAGCCCGGGTTTTTCAGTGAGAGGAAACTTCTCGACACAGATTATTCTTCGAGTAAGGCTGAATCTCATTCAGCCAACCTATTAACTGTTACATTTTTGGGTCCCAGATAAAAGACATTTCACGTTGATGTTCTGGTCCTTTGGAACATATGACATTATTATTCCAGCATTAGACATTTTTAAACAGAAGAAAGGAAAACAGTTCCATTTTGTACATTTCTTTCTCAATAAGAATGTTTAGGAATTAAAGTAACAAAACTTCTTAGCACTCTAATCTAAAAAATACCACTTTTATGACTTCATATAGTCATTGCAATTTTATAATGATGCAATGAATAGCTCGTTCAATGTCAATATAAAGTAATAGCAACACTGTTGTGATGAACTTTCAGAGGAAAAATATAAAGTATGAACCTAAATATATTCACCACAATTGGAAAGAAAAAATATAGTTGAAATGAAAAATATCAATAAATAATGGGTACTGATGTTGATCATGTTCCATGAGGGTTTGCCAAATTCTCCCCCCACCACACCCCCCCTCCCCTTTTCTTTTTGTTTTGTTTTTCTTCTGGGGATAAAATTGCTTCTTCTACAAATATTGTGCTGACTTAATTATCACCTACTATGTCAAAACTGTCCTCTAAATGAATGTTATCTCAAGACTTTAGTCATCTATATATGTAATTAGATCATTATTAATCAGGATTTGCACTCCATCACCCTCAACTCCAATTAAAAAATAAATAAATAAAGGAAAATTATAAGCATCCTTAATTACCGAAAATTTATCAAAGGTCACATAAAAAGATTAGAAAAGATAAATACTAATGGGTGATACAGTTTAATATAGAACTAGAAGAAAAGAGAAAGGAAAAAAAAATTACATTGTTATAATGTCATCGATCCATCAAGATCCATCAAAAAGCAAATGCACATGTACACACACGGACAAGCATACATGCATAAGCCTTCACATTTGAGCAGGTAATCTTCCAGATTTAAATACATACAGTTGCAAAAGCCTTCTCATTTAAGAAGGTAGTCTTCCAGATTCTATGGATTTGTAAGTCCTCCAAGCACCTACATCATTTAAAATTGATTTCAATGATTGCCAAATCCAACCAACTATGCCCAGCAGCAGTTCAGCAAAAAGTCAGCACAACTAAATTATTTGATAGTTCCAACTCCTTAAACTCCTGATAAATGATAAGGTAGTCTTCCAGATTCTATGGATTTGTAAGTCCTCCAAGCACCTACATCATTTAAAATTGATTTCAATGATTGCCAAATCCAACCAACTATGCCCAGCAGCAGTTCAGCAAAAAGTCAGCACAACTAAATTATTTGATAGTTTTGATAGTTCCAACTCCTGATAAATGATCTAGAATAAGAGGAAAACACTAATTGGAGATAGCATCTCCACTTAATCATTAAAACCACCAAATGATGCATAATCCCAAAAGTAGTTCCAAGTTGGCACTAATTTGTTGGAAACAAACTTGAAACTCAAACAAATTCATAGCTCCGTCAATAAAAGGATGAGTTGTGTACCCAAAAAAAATTGGGGCAATGGTAGCTTGGAATTCCCCCGCTAATGCAAGCAATAAGTTCGAAAAGAGTAAAATTATATTAGTGATGGTGTTTGTATATTGTTTAGTTTCAAGCCGAACAAAATTGGGGCCAATTGGAACCAAAAACAAAAAAAACAGACCACAAAATTTAAAACAAAAAAAGGAAGGAAAAATTAGGATACTCAAAAAGACACAAACAACAGTTATAAAATATCTCGTAAGTGCTACATTTTTCCAATAAATTTCCATAAAGTCCATTTAACACTATGTCTAGAGGACTGATTCCTCCGGTAATAGAACTCAGCGGAAATTTCAGGTGAAAAGTAGGACTCAATGGGAATTTTAACTAAAAGTAAATGCTAGAATTTAAGTACAAAAAACAAAAACAATCAAAAGTAGTCATTCATACCACCAAAGCCGGTCCCAAAAAGATTCAAGCAATTCTTATTCCCCTCTTGATCAACATTGCAGTATACACAAACTTCCCCCTTGACAAACATTTGGGCCCATTATGCTCTATTGCTTTCATTCTCTTCTTCACTTGAACATCCAAACCTGTAGAATACTGAGAACCAGGGATGGATTTTGGGACTTGAATTTTATTATTTGACTTCACCACAGAGGATAAAGTGCAGGTGTTGTCGAATAGGGTAATCGAGACTAATGACTAATTACCATCACCAGCTATTTCTTTCTGCTCGAATAAGTGACAAACAAGTTATATATTATAATAAATATATGTAGATAAAGAATTGTAAATGAAAAATGCAAATCATTAAAACATTTTGCATCGTGTTATAGATAAAAAAATAATCACAACTTTCATAAACAGCTCCTTTCTGAAACAAATTCATGTTCTTATAAAGTGATAACTATGAAATTGTTGCAAACTGTGTCATAAGAAAAAAAAGAAGGCGAAAAATGCTGTTTGTTATAGAACAAAGCATCCAAGAAACAAGACTCCTAGCAATAATTGAACCAATAAAAATAATAGCAAAAAACAAAACAAATATCATTTTCTAATCCTTGCGGGAAAAAACACATTTGTTTGCTGCTGCATGGGCAAGCAAGGGCTCCACAATTGAGACGACCTATCTTCTGTAAGAAAACATATCAGAAACTGGCATACCATTTGTATTTCTTCATTATTACTTATGAAGCAGAAGTTAGATTATTTCAATTAGAACTCAATAAATTACCAAATCGAGTATCTATGTACTTGGTAGAGGTCATTGCAGAATTGTAGGAAACAATCCTGTCAAGAAAAAAAGGTACTCCCAAGTGTCAATTAGCCAATCGATGACATAATAGTTTAGTTATACTTAACCACAAAGGATTATCAATAAATGTGCATTAAAAAAAACAAACACAATCCAGAAAAGACATTCAAACGTTAAATATTAGGCTCTCAAACCAGTCTCTAATGCTAAAATCAAAGTCTCCAGCCTTCAAGTTAAAGCCTGCTTCACAAGCCTCAGAGCTACATCTTTCTCCATGTGTTCTCTCTGCACCTATAAGGAGCACCAAATGATTACCTTATGTAATAATGTGCTGATATGCATTACTGCACATGTAAGAACAAGTTTGTTACCTTAACAACTTACAAACATCAGCTTATATCCACATGAGGAAGCTCAGATATCCATCTGGAGCAACAAAAGATGAAAATTAGCATGCCAGATACAAAAATTTAGATGACAGAATGTTAATAGAGATCTTTACAAGCAGATATTACTGGAAGCCTGGCTGGAGAAGTTGGAACCTCCATCTAATTAGGTAGTGTTTGGATATTGGATTTGTGAAGGAATTTGCCGAGGGAGGAGAAAAAAACTGCTTCTATTTTTTAATCTTTCCAATTGTTGTTTCCCATGCCTTTTATTTTCCCAATATAAAGCCATCTACAAATCCAAGATCCAAACACAACCTCGGGGAACAAGATCATAGTTATCAAATTAACAATCGTGAATTGAAATCCTATTATGCGGTTGCGTGAACTTGGTCTTCCGAGAGATTTATGATTTTCTATTATGAATTTTTTTTCTTGTTAAATTCAATTAGGAGTATGAACTCACCTGGATGAAAATTTGGGCAGATGAAAGCAAGAAAACCTTACTGGACTGGCCCAAGCGCTTCCACATTATTATTGGAATTGCCCATGGGCTTCTTTATCTCCATCAAGATTCCAGACTCAGAATCATTCATAGAGATCTCAAAGCTCGCAATATTTTGCTAGATATTGAAATGAACCAAAAAATATCAGATTTTGGCATGGCTAGAATTTTTTGGAGGAAATGAAACAGAAGGAAATACAGGGGAAGTGGTTGGCACATAGTAAGAATCTCTTCACATGCTCTACACAATCATTTACTTGTTATTGATTGATACTCGGTTTCCTTATTGAATGCGTTGTTGTAGTGGCTACATGTCTCCAGAATACGTGGTGAATGGGCTTTTCTCGACAAAATCAGACGTTTTTAGTTTTGGTGTTCTGGTGTTGGAGATTGTGAGTGGGAAGAGAAACAGAGGTTTCTTTCATCCTGATCACCACCTCAACCTCCTTGGACATGTGAGTATATAGTCTGGAAAATATTCTCTTATATGTGTTCAACTTCAAACTAGTAGTGATAATACCATTTTGAGTCTATTCAGGCGTGGAGACTATACAAAGAAGACAGGTCAATGGAACTGATTGATGAGGCTGCAAGGTGTTAGATCCAACCTACATGCATGCATGCAAAGATGGCGTAGGAAGACCTCCACTGGAAATGAAAGTCTATACTGGGCATATTTGCAAGCTTCTCCCTTTCCTTCACATTGTTAGCATTGTTAACACTCACCATTAACCATTAAAGAGGGTAGAAATTTTTGGTGGGTTGGTATCTCTCTCCCTCTCTTTGTGTATAAATAGAGATGGGAGGGAGAAGATGTATGGTTTGAGAAGAGTTTTTCTCCTCCTCTGTTTTTGTATTTGCTCCATTTTAGTGAAAATTCTCATTTATGCTCTGTGGACGTAGGCATTGGGTCGAACCACGTAAATATTGTGTTCTCTGTGTGTGTGAGATAATTTTCTGGGTGTGTTTGATCCTAACAAAGTGGTATCAGAGCCGGTTTTGTGCATTTTCGGCAAAACAGAGTGTTTTTCCAAAAATTGCTCAGAAATCAAAGTGGCTGAAATCCACTTTTGATCACACCAAGTTGAAGTACTCGATGAGACGAACACAGAGATGAAAACCACATCGAAAAAGGATCCTGAAAATAGCCATACGCACCTCCATGAGCTCTGTGTCGTCGTGACCACGCGCCGCAACACGCTACATGCGTTGCACGCGTCTTCTCCGTTCATCCAGGCGTTGACGTCATCCACCGCCGTTTATTGACGTCACAACGACAGCAGTTGACATTGCTTGAGTCGTAGCCGTGAGCCGTGAGCCAAGCCACGCCGCTAACCAAGCCGTTGACCAAGCCGCTGACGTCAGCCTGACGCCAGCCAAACCAGAGAAATTATCCGGTGCTGCTCAGCCACACCAAATTTCACTGATCTGAACCGTTCAACTTGTTTTGGCTTGATCTGAGCCATTCTGAGTCTATTTTTGATGATCCAATAGTGCTTTCCAACTATTTGGAATATTCCAGACACATCCATATAGTCAAATTTTTCAAATCAGCTTTTAAAAATTTGAAGTCTTTATTTTGGCAATCCGAAGTGCTTTTCCAGCTAATTTAACTAGTCTGGACGCCACAGCAAAGCCTGTTTTTCAGATAGACATTTTCTATATGATGGAGGAATCAACATCGACTTCGGGATCCATGATCAAGCTGAATGCTTCTAATTATGTCATTTGGAAGCCCAAAATGGAAGATGTCTTGTATTGCCGAGATTTATTTAATGGAGTTAAACCAGCAACGGAAACTAACGAAGACTGGAAGCGGAAGAACCGAAAGACTATTGGCCAGATTAGACAATGGATCAATCATAGTATCTTCCACCATGTTGCCTAAGAGATTGATGCCTATGCTCTCTGGACGAAGTTAGAAGGCATGTACCAGTCGAAGACTGCTTGGAACAAAGCCCTCCTGATGAGAAGACTTGTGAACTTGAAGTTGAAAGGTGGTATCTTTGTTGTTGAACACACCAGTGAGTTTCAAAATCTGGTGAACCAACTGGCAACTGTCAAAATGGAGTTAGATGATGAGATGCAGGCCCTATTGCTACTAGACAGTTGGGAGACGTTGGTGGTGTCCCTCAACAACTCTGCACCTGAAGGAAGACTGACAATGAGCATGGTTACAGATGCTCTATTCAGTGAAGAGGCAAAAAAGAAAGATATGGGTGGAGATCAGTCACATGTCCACGTTATAAAAAAATAAAGGCAGAGGTAGAGGCAGAGGAAGAAGCAAAAACAGAGGACGCAGTAGAGGAAGATCTCAAGACGGAGGGAAATCTAGAGAAGGTACGAGTCAGCCAAGGTTCAAGTGTTACCATTTTGGCCAGGAGGGTCATATAAAGAAACATTTCTATGCCTTGAAGGAAGAACAAAAACAAGGCAATAGACAGTCAAAGACCGAAGATAGGAACACTGCAATTACTGTCTCAGAGGATATTGCATTATTCTCTATTGAAGAAGAAAAATGCCTCCATATGTTAGACAACGACACCAAGTGAGTGGTAGATACAGCAACTTCCTACCACACTACATCCCGAAAGGAGTTCTTTAGTACGTACCAAGCTAGAGATTTTGGTATAGTGAAGATGGGTAACTCCAGTTTTTCGAAGATTGTGGGAATCGGTGATGTTCACATCCAAACCAAAGTTGAGTGCACAATGGTGTTGAAAGATGTTAGGCATGTTCTCGATTTACGCTTGAATCTTATCTCAAGGATAGCCTTAGATCGACAAAGCTATGAGAACTACATCGGCAAAGGCATATGGAAGTTGAAGAAGGGATCCCTAGTGGTAGCCAGAGGACAGGCAATTGGCACACTGTACAAGACTCACGTGGAGGTGAATTCAGATAGCCTCAACGCAAGCAAAAGATGAGGCATCACCAAATTTGTGGCACAAAAGGCTGGGTCACATGAATGAAAAAGGATTGCAGATTCTGGCAAAAGAAGTCTCTTATTCCCTTTTCCAAAGATGCGAAATTGAATCCTTGTGACAACTGCTTGTTTGGGAAGCATCATAGAGTCGCTTTCCACTCATCATCCAGAAGACAATCAGAGTTGTTGAGCAGAGTATAGTCTGATGTTTGCGGTCCCGTAGAAGTGGAATCTTTAGGTGGCAAAAAATACTTCCTGACGTTTATTGATGACGCATCACGGAAGGTATAGGTTTATGTCCTAAAGACCAAAACTGAGGCGTTCCAGCATTTTCAGACATTCCATGTTATGGTGGAAAGGGAGACCGAAAAGAAGGTGTCTCCAAACAGGCAATGGAGATGAATACACGTCAAAGGAGTTTGAAGCCTACTGTGCTACTTGTGGCATTCGGCATGAGAAGACTATTCCTGGAACCCCACAACACAATGGTGTAGCCGAAAGAATGAACTTGACCATTGTGGAGAAGGTCAGGTGCATGCTCAAAATAGCAAAGCTGCCAAAGCCATTTTGGGGAGAAGCTGTTCATGTTGCTTGCTTTTTGATCAACAGATCGCCATCCATTCCACTGACTTTTTAGATTCCATAAGAAGTATGGTCTGGAAGGGAGATTTCTTACTCTCACTTGAGAGTGTTTGGGTGCAAAGCATTTGCACATGTATCCAAGGAGCACAGACAGAAACTGGATGATAAAGCCACTCCATGCATCTTTATTGGCTATAAAGATAAAGAATTTGGATACAGATTGTGGGATCCGAAAAACAAGAAGGTCATTCGAAGCCGAGATGTGGTGTTTCAAGAAGGCCAGACCTTAGAAGACTTTGGGCAACCAGGCAAACCCAAAGTTGATGATGTTTCAGAAATTTTTCCCAATTTTGTACCATCACAGCATGCCACTGATAAAGAAGACCTACCACAGCATGCAGCCAATAATGTAGAGTTGCAGGATGGATTTCCAGAAAAAGAAGATCGAGAAGCAGAGGGTGTTAAGCAGGGGGAGCCATAACCCCCTCTGCCAGAGACTGTTGGTCCACAGTTACGAAGATCAACAAGAGAGTCTAAGCTGTCGTCCAAATACCCTACTTCTGAGTATATTTTGCTTACTGATGAGGGGGAGTCAGAAAGTTTTCAAGAAGCTCAGAATCATAAGGAGAAGAGTAGCTGGCAGCTAAGTTACACGGACGCGGGTATGGGTGTCGGGTGTGGGTGTGTATCTAAGCGTCGGACACTTCAAAATTAAAAATTGAAGATACGTGGATATGGATCCAAATTTGGATACGGGTATGGAGATACGTTAAATAGTTATTTTTTAAAATATATTTATTATATGTAGATGAGTTAAAAAGTTAAGAAATAACAAATTTTGTTAAAAAAATAACAAATAAAATATAAATAATAAATAAAAATTATTTTGGACATAAAATAAATTACATTATATATGATAAAATAAATTATTTTTATTTCAAACATAAAAATTATAATATATTATAATATACAACATTTTTTTGAGTAAATATTATATAATATGAATACTATTATATATTATTATATTAATATATCATTTATAAATAAAAACTAGAGAAAGAGAAGGGAAAGGAAGAGAAGACAGTCAAAGAAGAAAAGAGAGCGAGAGGAGAAGAGAAAAAGATAAAAGAGACAGAGAGAGAGAGGTCGAGACTAGAGGGGAATCGAAGCCCTAGGGTGGAATCGGCTTTGAGACGTTGATTTTCAGATCTCCTTCGATTTGATCTAGTTCGCGACTAGGGTTCGTGTGAGAACCCGAATATAAAAATTAAGTAAATAATTAAATAATAATATTACAATCTCAAATATTTTGGTGGTGAATTCTAAGGTGCAAATTAAATATTATTGGAGGATCCTTTAATTAATTTTTAAACCTAAAATAAATTTATGGTGAAAGTCTTTAATTTAGAGACAAGGTTTATTATAAAAAAAAGAGAGAGAGAGAGAGAGAGAGAGGAGGGTGTGACTTGAACTCTAGACCACAAAATTAATAAGTTAGACTCTT